CTCCCCAAATCCTCCCCTTTTCTTAACTTTCCTATTACCATCAAGGGTACCATCATCTTCCCTATCACCCAGGCTCACAATGTTGGTGTCATCTTGAATCCCTCATTTTTATTTACCCGACATATCCAATCTGCACCAAGTTTTGTTGCCTCTACTCTAATGAGTAAATGTAAAAAAGATAGACTGAGGTACAGACTCATAGCCAGATCAGTTTATTAACCAGTGACGTGTATAACTGTTAACAAAGTGGGTCACACTGGTCACTTCAGCAAAGCCAGTAACCCCAGGGAGAAAGGGATCACCTTTTTTATTGACATGCAGCAAAGAAGTAGGTCTAGGCAGTTTTGGAACATTACAATTGGCTATCCTAAGAAAAGTGGGCTGCTATTTAGGTAAAGCTAATCATGTCACTGACAATTAAGTTAATTGTTTTGTGTGACTCATATGCCTCTTGTAATCTTTGCTAGATCAGTACTACCAGGCTTGCTGTCCTCTTGGAGCAGATCAAATCTCCCTTAATTATGCAAGGTCAGGTAAGGACAGATCACATATCTTTTGTGGGATGGCACCAGGTTAAGCTGGGGCTTACAGACTACAAGCAGATGTCCCAAGAACTAATGGTATGAGTCATAAGAACCTTTTCTTTTAATTATACCTTTAAACTAACTCTGAGGGAAAACTGGATTCCTGAGCAAGGTGAGCTCAGGCAGATACTAACTCAGTTATAAAAAAATCAATGCAGCATAAAATCAATTACATTGTAAAATCAATACAGCAGAAATCAGAGCTAATAATAATTTTGATCTTTTCACACTACCTTTACAACATCTCTTGAACACCTTCTCTTCCTTTCTCTTTCTCTTTCTCTTTCAGTGGGAAATTTCTTGTAACAAAGTAAAACAATTAAATGAAACTAATAACACAATGATGTCTGAAAGTGAATACAACATTCCACATCTGTAATGGACATGCTGAGTTTAACTGGAAGTCAGCAGACAGATAAGGGTAGGTGAGGTCGATTTGAGAATCATCAGCATAGAGATGATAATAAGCAGCTCATGGGAGCTGATGAGATCACCAAGTGAAGTAGTATAGAGGGAGAAGAAAAACAGGTCCAGGACAGAGCCTTGGGGGACATCTATGGTTAAAGGGTATGACCTAGATAGGAATCCAGCAAATGAGACTGAGAAGTGGTCAGATAAGTAGGACGAGAACCGAGAGAGAGTATTGTCATGAAAACCTAGAAGGAAGACAGCCTCTTCTTTTTTTTTTTTCTTTTTTGGTGAGGCAATCGGGGTTAAGTGACTTGCCCAGGGTCACACAGCTAGTAAGTGTTAAATGTCTGAAGCTGGATTTGAACTCAGGTCCTCCTGACTGCAAGGCCAGAGCTCTATTCACTGTGTCACCTAGCTGCCCTGGGAAGACAGTTTCAAGGAGAAGAGGGTGATTAACAGCATCAAAGGTGACAGAGAGATCAAGAAAGATGAGCATCAAGAAAAGGCCATTTAGTAAGGGCCATTACATTTGGTAGTTAACAGATTACATAACTTTGTGGAGAGCGGTTTCGGTTGAATTGATGAGGTGGGAAGCTAGATTAGGATTAGAAGGAGGATCATAGGATCATCATCTTAGAGCAGAGAGAGACCTCACAGACCTTTAAGTCCAAATCTCTCATTTTACAGACGAGGAAACAGAGCTTAAAGGAAGAAACGACTTCGATTTGACAATAAACGACAAATGATTTGAGCTCTAGTCTTCCAGGGCTCTATCCACTTTGCCAAGGATTATAGATCAGAATTTGAAGAGATTGGTGGATGGGACAGATTGGTGAAAAAATAAATGGGAGATTAACACTAGGCTAAAAGGTGGGAGTGTTGAGACAAAGGGAATGAAAGTAAGGTTGTCAAGTTATTAAAAAGTGATAATGAGCTCTAAATAGTCTTAGCCATATTCTTAGGGTTGAAGTTGTAAATATTTATGTGTAGTTTCAAGAAACGAGGCTGAAAATCTCAACTGTTATGGAGATTCGAGGAAATTCTGCAGTGACTTGATCCTCATGCTCAAAGTGTAAGCTGATCTTCCTGGGGAGAAGGCAGAGGGACTCAGAGTATGCCTCTCTGCACTCTGGGCTGCTAGGGAAAATGAATCTCCATTAAACTTAGCAACATGGATGACAACAGCTTCCCACTTTTGGTGATTCACAATGACACTATCAGAAGGAAATTCGCTTGTATTTGAGTATTGAAAAAATCAAGTTTGCAAGTCTGAGACAGAGGAAGAATAGATAGATAGAGGTCAGTTGCTTTGAAAAGGATCTAGGCATTTCAGTGGTTGACAAGGTTGACCGAAAAACTAATAAAATCTGGGGCTATATTAAAAGGAGCGGAGCATCTAAGAATGGGGAGATAATTCCACTGCTCACTATGCTGTTCAGATCTTAGTTTTGGGTGCCACGATAATAACCTTAAGCTATTAAGGACATCGAAAAGCCAGAGATTATCAGAGGAAGGCAACTAGGATAGCGAAGGGCTTTGAGTCCATAACATACGAAGTTTGGCTTAAGGAACTACGCATGTTTAAAAAAAATTGAGGGGAGGGGAACATGATAGCTGTCTTTAAGTGTATTTGGAGGATTGTAATGTGGAACAGGGATCAGACTGGTCCTTTTGGCCTCAAAGGGCCAAACCAGGAACAATGGGCAAAGAGGCAAATTTAACAATGAGAGCTGTGCCCAAGTGGAAGGGGCTGCCTCAGGGGTAGGGGGGATCCCCCTTCTTGCAGGTTTTCAACCACATGCCTGGAAGACCAGGTATGTTTTTGGGTATGTTATAGTGGACATCCTTTGGTTTGTGCATTGGACTACATCACTACCAAAGTCCCTTCTAACTCTTCAATTCTGTACTTTTGCAATTCTGTACTTAAGTCTGGGGTCGTTGGAGGGAAGAGACTATGTACAAAATGAGACTCAGGGATGAGAAAGAGAAATTCAACAGCCTGCTGGTCTCAAGGGGACCATACTTTGGAGTATGGAGAGACCATACCTTGGAATGGCAAGTGATCTTACTAGATGGAACGGACTGGGGAGGAACTAGTAAGAAGAAAGGAGCCATAGTATCTGGCCAGAGGAGAAGCTACAGACTAGAATGAGGTGAAAAAGCCTGGAGATGAACAGCTACAAACGGAGTTGAAGAAGCAGTCACATGCCACTATAGATAAAAAGACACTTCCTCTCCTCAGCTTCCACAGATTCATCGTGGGGAAACTTCTAGACATAATGAAATATTCTTTAAACACTATGGCCCTTACTATGAGGTATGTGTGGGGAAGATGCAGGGATGAATCTTGATTTATGATTGCATAGGAAGGGTTAAGGTAGTGGGCAGAGATAAGAACTCCAAGACTATGCATCCAGCCGGCAAGAATGAGCATTCCCACTGAGTGATTCCGGCATCTAGGGACCACGAGAACAGAGCCTAGACAGATACTATATCTAAATGGCATACTTCTGAGATCCTAGAAGTCTCCACATAGGAAAAGTGAAAGCTTGAGGGTGGAGGGTAGTGGGCAATCTCAGGGAACCTAGAACCAGACAGAGTGTGAGTTGGTTTGAGAGCCAGAACCTGTATTTCTTGCTACTGAATCCAAGTTGCTGATTCTTGGCTTGATTTTCCTAGTTTGTGGTTCTTGGATTTCCACTCAGTAACATTCTACTGTCTCAACTGGGCTTCCCAGTCTGATTCCCTTAGTAAGGACCCTGGTTTGAACTAGATTCTACTCCTCCAATGTCAAACTATGGCAAAATCATGTGTTACGTACAACAAAAAGCCATCATCATCAATTAACCATTCCAGACACTGCTTGTTTAAAATTTAGCCAGCTGTAGGTCTGGAGCTAGATTAGGAGACTAATTTTATTTTATTTTATTTTATTTTTGGCTAGGCAATGGGGTTAAGTGACTTGCTCAGGGTCACACAGCTAGTAAGTGTCAAGTGTTTGGTCTGAGGCCAGATTTGAACTCGGGTCCTCCTGAATCCAGGGCCGGTGTTCTATCCACTGTGCCACCTAGCTGCCCTGGAGGCTAACTTTAAATAGAGTCAAAAATTCCCAGTATCGTGTGATATTTTGAGGGTTTTGCCAAGTTGGGCCATGTTCACTTCCTGGAAAGGATTGCTGCATGAAGAAGAACATGAAGAAGAGTTGCCTTTTTGGCCTGAGATCTTTTACTTGCTTCTTAAGATCAGAGTCAGTCATGGCTCTAAATGCCATTACATTACACAAATACTAACTGTCCTTTGAGGACTAGCTCTAGATCCATTTATGTCATGAAGCTTCCCTGACCTCTTTCAAACCATAATGATCTCCCTCCTCTGAACCTGTATGACACTTATCTCTACCACTCCTTTTAATACTTAGATGTCAATACATGTGTTCCAACAGAAAGTGGTATGATGTAAGTAAGTACTGGACCTGGGATTAGGAGAGATCCTGCTTTGAAATTTACTATTTTTATGACCTTGGCATACCACTGAACCTCTATGCCTCAATTCTGTAAAACAGGGATAATAAATGCAATATCTACCTCATAAAGTTTTGGAGAGTGAAAACACTTTACCGATATTAAATAAGTTATTGCTAATAGTGAATTTTTACGTGCTTTATTTTCTCAATTAGACCGGGAGCTACAGGAAGGCAGAGTCTTGACTTCATAGCAGGTGCTAAATGAGTATGCTGATTGATGACTGATATAAATGTCTGATCTAAAAAGGAACCAATTTTCATGAATTTCAATTTACTATGATATAGCATGAGCTCACTCTTTAGACTTTTAATTCTGTTGTTAAATAATAGAGAAAACATCAAATCTCATTGAAACTTTGAATGTTATAAAATAGATTATAGTAATTACCTTGAAAAATTTTGACTTCTTCATAAGAAAGTTCTTAGGGTTTATCTAACAGAATCATTATTTCACCTCTTCCCCCAAGATAAAAATACTTAACCTATAAAAACTTGGTGAATACTGCTATTTGTTGCCGTTGTCAAATCTATGCTTCCTAGATAGGTCCGCAGAAATCCATTCTCTGAATAATTTTGGTAGCTATAGTGGACATGTTTGTCATCCCATATTACAAAATTTGGCAATGCTGAATACATGAATAGTGCACCCAATTTGTGCCCAGAAGGCAAAGTCAATGAAAAGTCTTGTAGATACCATTTAGCTGAATCTTCGTCATAGAACACTAAATACAGCCAATCATAATTATAATGTGAAGTCATGCTTAACAACAAAGCAACTCCAGTTGGGTCTGAGGTATAAGTAGCAAGACGTATAGAAAATCCTTTCCATGACTCCTCTTTCACATTCAGAATTTTCATGAGGTCTGCAAGTCTTGTTAATAAGTAAAATTTTAAATGAGAATATCCAAGGAAGATTTCATTTTTTGTCCACACTATTATCTGACTCAATTCTAGTCCATCCTGCAACAAAATTAAAAATAATGATTACAGTAAGGGATTTTAGATAGTGTTGTAATTATTGTCTTCTCAATTTTATTCTCTTTTAAGTTCTAGAGTTATTTTTAATTAAGCAATTATTATGGTCTACATTTTTTTTTTTTTTTGCTTTTTTTTGGTGAGGCAATCGGGGTTTAGTGACTTGCCCAGGGTCACACAGCTAGTAAGTGCCAAGTGTCTGAGGCCTGATTTGAACTCAGGTCCTCCTGACTCCAAGACCAAAGCTGTATCCACTGTTCCACCTAGCTGCCCCTCTATTATGGTCTGTATTTTAAAATATTTCGGTATACCAGAGATAGGTGATTTCATCCTATCCCAGACACTTACTAGCTGTGGGATCATGGAGAGGTCACTTAACTTTCCTGATCTCTGTTACCTCATTTACAAAATGTGGACAACATCTTCAGTAGCTGCCTTCCTCAATGGTTATTGTGAGTAGCAAATAAAATAATACAGTTAGTCCTTCCACCTCACAGGGGTGAGGGGTGAGGCATTCTGGAAAATCCACGTAAAATTTTTTGGCCCTCCTTCAAACTAGAAACTAGAAAAGAAGTCTGAGTTATTATGGTATTAAATGATAAAATATGTTGATATTATATGATACTATACATATATTTTATGCATTTCTGAGTTTCTAAACTTTTTCTGTGTTGTCTGCTGTCCTTTGCTTGTTGTCTGTGGTTTCCACAAAACTCCTCCAAAATTCCCATTTAATTTCTTTTACTGACCTGTGATACATTAAACGTCACAATGTGGAAGGGATGACCGTATATGTAAAATGCTTTGTTAAACTTAACCCACTCTGTATCAGCTATTGTAATTTCCAGTCATCCTAATCTGTTAGGTTTTCCTCTACTAATATAGATCCCAATCTCTCTATGACTTAGTAAAGGACCTTTGAGATTTACCATGACTGCAGCATTCATTCTCCCTCAACCAGTCTGATGACAGGACTCTCTGTACTTGGTTAATAGCTCATACATAATGCCTTTCCATGTTTATGGGCCCTGCCAAAGCTTGTGATTAGTTGGCATAGTCATTAAGAACTCAACTGTGGTCACCTCCATGCCACAGTGAGGCCCTAGGGCAGACTTTTAGAACAAACAAATTAAAGTTAGCAATTATAAAATTTTTATGCTAGTTTGGTTTAGTTCTGAAAAACCAATCTGAGGCACAGGCCTAAAAATAAGGCTAAAAAGTTTTAAGTATGAGTTGTTGTTTGTTTGTTTGGTTTTTTTATTGACTAGCTCCACATACTATATATAATTTCCATGTGTAGCAATGATAATAGTTTCGACTCTCTTTTCAAACCAAACTGGACATCAGCCTTCTCTCTTTCCTCTGCATTTCGCCCCTTGGTCAGCAGTGTCACTTGCAACTTGGTTCCAAGCACAGTCACTTTGTGTGGATACCCAAACATTGGGTTGTCTCTGGAGAACCAGGATCCATAAATATTTGGAAAAACAAACAAACAGGGCAGACTCTAGGCAGAGAGTAGCTTATAGTAAGAGAGATGGGGAATTTATGGCACTTACCCAAGGTTCATGTTCTGGCCCCAACTTTAACTACAACCCTGCCTTAGTGGGCTGGAAGAGAACAAGGTGAGGATACCACATTATTTGATATAACCTAGCATATGTGCAATTTAGTACGTGTCCTTTCTTGTTGTGAAACCTGTAGCAACTAGATTACGTTAAATTAAACTAAACTAAAGCAACTGCTTCAGTACAGAACCACCATTCATGATTGGACTAAGGAAAGAGCAAGGAGGGAGAAGTTGCAGAAAAACTATCTGTTGCTGATTAGTGCTGAAGCATGGTCATGATCAACGTCTTACTGAGGAACTGGGAATCAGGGAACCCTGGAAATAGGAATTTGGTGGGATAGTCATTCTAGGGCATGGATTTAATCAGGGCAAGAAGTTGAGCCTAGAGAGAATTCCTGAGTAAGAGGCAACATGGGGGCTTGGAGATCAGGGAATCATGGCCATTTTTACTACAAGGATTATAGAGAAGTTAAGAGCCAGGTGCCCATGTAGGTCAATAGGGCAGGAAAACATATTTCACAAAGAAGGGCATGTGTTAATAATGGAGTAGTAAATTCACTTCAGCAAACCAGAATAGAGAGGATAGGCCAAAGGGAGTGGTAGAACAGAAGTAAGGAGTTTCTAAAATCTCTGGGAAAGCATAATAGGTGGTTGCCCAAATTAGTGTAAAAAGGCCAGAACTCTAGAGAAGAAAAATCACTGTGAAGATAGCAAAGGAAAAGTTTTTTTTTTTTTAAATTTCTTTTACTCATCCAAAGAGTCAGGAATAAGAGTTCCATCCTCCCAGGCTTATATAGCCAGAGGGTATGGTACAGAGATTTGTAACCAGAGGTCTGTGGATAAATAGATCTCAGTGGGGAGTAGGAAGCGGGAAAGATGGTCTGAGAACTTGGAACTTTTAATATTTTTATAACTAGATTTCAATATAGGTGGTTTTCTTTGTAATGCTATGTATTTTATTTTATGCATTTAAAAGCATTATTCTAAGAAGGGATTCATAGGCTTCATCAGACTGTCAAAGGGGTGTATAATACAAAAATGGATAAGAATCTCTGGTATAGTGTCAAAGTCTTGTGATCTCCAGTTTTAAGCTCCCCCCAAATGCCCCCCCCACCCTCTACCTTTGACACTGACAAAATGTAGACAATAACTCAGATGATACAATCAACAACCTTGTGACAGATTTTTCCCTATCAAATCCCTTTGCTGAGATCTCAGGGGAAAGGGGACATGAACTTTTATAGTACCTACTATGTGTCACAAATATTATCTCTTTTGATTCTCACAACAATTCTGTAAGGTAGGTGCTACTATTATCCCCATTTTACAGTTGAGGAAACTGAGGCACACAGAGGTTAAGTGACTTGCTCAGTGTCACACAGCTAGTAAGAGACTGAGGCTGGATTTGAACTCAGATCCCCCTGACTCCAGATCCAGTGCTCTATTTACTGCATCAACTAGCTGCCTCTAGAGTAACAGCACAATATGGCATCTGAGACTCTACCAAGGAACAGCCATACCACAGAGAAATACAGAATCACAGAAATTGGAGTAGGAAGGGACTTAAGCAGTAGTCTAGCGCAACTCACGCCTGAAAAGAATCCCCATTACAATTTACTCAACAAGCTGTTATCCAACCTCTACCAGAAGACTTCCAATGAAGTAAAATCCACTACTTCCTAAAGTAATTCATTCCACTTTTGGGCAGCTCTAATGGTTAGGAAGTTTTGCCTGATATCAAGTCTAAATTTGCTTTTTGTACAACTTCCATCCTTGACTCTCAGTTTTGCTCTCCGGGGCCAAACAAATAATTAGAAAATTCATTTGGAGAAATCATTCCTTCTCTTTCGTATGACAACCTTGCTCTCCTTGCCCATTGTAAGCACACTTTCTTTTGTGATGTTTGACAGTCATTTTGTTAATGATACATTCTAGAATTTCCTGAGGAATCAAAGTAGAGTTCACTGGCTTATAATTAACAGACTTTGTTCTCTTCCTCCCCCTCCTTTATTTGCACTTCTTTATCCCCATGGTATATCCCTTGTTTTACAAAATCTTTCATATATTACTGACAAAATCTCAAAAGTTACATTTGCAAGTTCTTGCAGTAACTGAGAATATAGGTAACTTGAATTGATCAAAGGCAACTCTTTTACCAAACGGATGCTCCCTCACAAAACCTTACTTACTTGGGGTATCAACTCCTTGTTAACCATTTTTATTGCAAAGGCTATTCTCTATGGCTGTGGTGAGGATCAAATGAAATAATATTTGTAAAGCTTAGTGCAGTGCTTGGCACATAGTAGGCATATAATAAATGCTTATTTCTTGTCTTACTTTTTTGGCCAAGAATATAGAAACCGAATAATTGAGCAGCTCTGCTTTCTCTTGGTGGTTAGTTATTATTATCCCATCCACTCCAAGCAAATTATAAAAGTCCTTTCTATATTCATCTTCTTTTCCCTTGAGGGATGAAAGTATCATTAAAACAAGTTATTTGGGGCAGCGAGGTGGCGTGGTGAATAAAGCTTTGGCCTTGGAGTCAGGAGGACCTGAGTTCAAATCCAGCTTCAGACACTTAACACTTACTAGCTGTGTGACCCTGGGCAAGTCACTTAACCCTGATTGCCTCACCAAAAAACAAAAAAAAAAAACCAAACCCAAAAAAACCAAGTTATTAGTTGCTTTGAAGGATATCTGAGGAAAGATCCACTCGATAGGCATTTATTAAGTTCTATGGTAAATGCTGGCAAAAGAAAAGAAAAAAATATAGTTCCTGCCCTCAAGAAGCTTACATTCAATTGTGCAAGACAATATGTAAACAACTAGGTTATTTACATATACCTACAAGATACCTACAACATACTACAATATGCATCGTAAATGGAAAGCACTCATGAGGTGGAAGGCATTAGAGTTGGGGTGGAGGTGGTGCTGGAACCAGGAAAGGTCTCCCAGAGTAGGTGGGGTTTGATCTGAGTTTTGAAGGAAGATAGAGAAACTAAGAGGCAGAGGTGAGGCAGTGGTCTAGGTATGGGTGATAATTAGTGAAAAGACATGGAAAGAGGAATTGAAAATAGGTCAATGTTGCTGGAACAAAGAGTATATGAAGAAGAATAAAGTATAAGAGGACTGGAAGGGTAGGAAAAGGTCAGGTTATTAAGAGCTTTAACTACCAAACAGAAGAGCTTATACTTGATCTTAGGGGTACTAGGTAGCCACTGGAATTTGATAAATAGGGACAGAGATAACCTGGTCAGACCTATGCTTTAGAAAAATCACTTCCAAAACTGAATAGAAGATGGATTGGAGCAGGGAGAGACTTAAGGGAGACTTGAGCTATTGCAATAGTCATTCCCCAATTAATAAATTGTCAGAAGATATGAACAGACAGTTTTCAAAGGAAGGACTCTAAACT